CCTAACTCTACATTACAACTTTAACTTCTTCATCTTCTGTAATCAAAGAAAAAAGAAAACAGTAGCATGCTTTTCCTTTTCTTGAATATTATTAAGGAAAACCACAGACTCTTATTTTTGAAACTGGCATATCCTGAGTCTCTTATTTATGAGCTCTTTGTTTAGATTTTAAAATTACTGATGTACTTTTACTCCACTTCTGCAGTGTTCCCACTTTCATTTTAAAAGCAATGACCACTTATATATACACACAATGGAATATTACTCAACAATCAAAAAGATAAACACATGCCTTTTGCAGCAACATGGAGGAGCTGAAAGGGATCATGCTTATTAGTAAAATAAGCCAGAAAGAAAAAGAAAAATACTAGATGGTTTCACAGTTTCACTCATAGCAGGAGTATAAAGGACCAGGGGAGAAAATAATAATAATGATGAACAACTATATACCAGAGACATTTTAAGGGGTTGGAGTGGGAAATGGGATCAAAAAAGGGGGGGAGGGGGAAAGTGCACTGGACTATGGTGATGGCACACGGGTGATTTGGTGATGGGAAGCCCACGGGGATTACAACTGAGATGGAAAAAGGTACAAAATAATGTAAAAATAAACATATTATTAAAAAAAATCACTATTAGGCATACACTGTACTTATTACAGTTAAAAAGTTACTCTCATTGTTCTCTTCACCCTCAAACTGTGTTTACTGAAGCAGATTTTCCCCATGTCCTAGAGTTCCCTTGGCCAGACATGGTGTATTACTAGTCATTACCCTGCACTTCTGGAAGAATGAATGTAATTTCTGAAATGCTTAAACCGTTAATAGGGATTACATTAAAGTGTTGGAGACTGATTTATCTCCTCATATATTATTTTTTGGTTGTTTGATCTAGTCTTATTAATACAAACTGGTCTATTTGGCCTTGAAACCCAAGTCTCAAGATCTTTCTCGGTCAGTTGTCAGTATTGATGGGAAACCGTTCCAGATTCAGCACAGTCACAAGTTATCATTTTGTGAGTCCTATTTGATGTCCTGGGCACCAGCATTTATTCTCTGGTCGCCAATCCCTCTGGAGTACTTGTGTAGCATTTAAAAACTCAGGCTTCAGCCATTGGGTTCAAGGGCTCCCACTGCCACTCACTACTTTGTGGCTTTTCTAATTACCTTTGGAAAAGATAATTAAATTCTCTGTACCTTGATACCTCACATATAAAATGGGCATAGTAATAAGTAATAATTATAACTAGGTTGCTACTGATAATGACTAGATAATAAAGAGATTAAAATAAACAATTATATAATAAAATGATTTAAAACATCACCTACCATGTGGCAAACTTTTAGCAGGTCTTATTTAATGATAATTAGCTCAGGAGTTCTTCATTCACCTAGGGAAAACATTAAATCTTGGTCAAGTATCTTTATTTTACAACATTAAATCCTCTCCAGGAGGATTTCACTGGTTGGTGATTTTTTTTTTCTTTTTTTTTTTTTGTTCATCAGCATTTGCTATGTGTTACTTTCTGTTCTAGCCACACAACTTGCACTCTCTCCTCCTGGCAGGTGGTTCCCAGACCCACATCTCCAGGTCCATCCCATCTCCTCTGACTCATGTGGGCACTTAGGTCTCCCCACCCCCACCAAGCCTCTTTCCCTGCATTTCTTTGGTTTATGTTTCCTTTCTCTGCTCATCCACCCAGGCTTGGGTTCACTGCCCTGCCTCTCCCCCAGAGCCTTAGAAGTTGAGGTTCTCAATAATTGTTAAAAGAATAAGACCTATGCTCACCTTTTAGAGACTGAAATGTCAAAGTCTCTAGATTCTCTGTGAAAGCAGGCTGATGCCTTTTTTCTAATCTGTCTCCTCACCCCTGCTTCATGAATTGGGAAATAAAAACTAAATTAAATAAACTGCTTCTGTGATAATTCAGTGAATGTCTCAGGTACTCTTGGGTGCCCCAGTTGAAAAACTCAAGTTCTCTGACCTGGAGCATGAAACTTTATTTAATAACCTCCAGCACGCACTTCTGGTTGGGGCGCAGGCAGGCCAGGTCCAACCGGAAACAGATGCTGGCTCCCTAGGAGCAGAACGACTCCGGAGCGCCATCTCGTGGGTGTCTGCTTGTTGCCATGCTGTCTGTGACAGGAGAGATTCTGCCACCACCTAGCACTCTCTTTTTTCCGTTTCAGGGTCTGGGGAAATTAGATTCTAGATACTAATAAAATCACTGTCTGGCAGACTTATTTTGTATTTAAACAGGACAAATATATTTTAACTGTTTCAGATTTCTTTTCATTGAATTGTGACTGTTTTTAATAGAAAATTTTCAATGGCCAGTTCTGCATTTTTGCATGCATTGCTAAAAAAAATAAAGTTTTACATTAAGTAATAAAGAAAAGGATTCAGGTTTTTTTTTTTAGTCAGATTTTGAGGCGTTGATTTCTGCATGAGAAAAGTTTTCATGAACAGTGAGGGTAAAGTATGAGCTACTCCAAGTACAATCAGTGGACCGGCAGCATTACCAGGAACAGTGGAAAAGCAGAATCTCAATCCCACCCCAGACTGGCTGCATCATTCTCTGCAGTGATTCCTGGGTACATGATAGACTGATGTAAAGGTGTAAAGAACGCTCACTGGAGCCAGATGGAACACCTGTGCACTGGTTCCCATGGCCTCTTGAACCATCTCATCTCAGCCCATATAATCACAACTCTTTAGCTGGCTGGTGTGGGAAAAGAGAAGCAGAAGTCTGCAGAGGAAGAACTGAGATCCTGTATAGGAAGTCACTTAGAGCATTGTAAAACCCAGGCAAGTGTAAAAGAAAAATGATTTTGGATTTAAACAGCTACCCATGAGCAAATCTGCTTTAGGTTTAACTTCATTTTCAGCAGAATGAACATTCATCATTACCATTCATCACACATCTAATAGTGTCTGTGTAGTTTCACCAAGTATTTCCAAGGATGGTCTTCCCAGAACTCAGTATAATAAAATTACATTTTGTTTTCCTTAACAAGACCTTTCAAACAACTTGTTTTCCTGAGGTCTCAGAAGCATCCCCCCTGTTGAGCCCAGTATGGAGCACAGTAGGTGCTCAATGATGCTTGCTGATTAAACTACTAATTAGTCCTCTTCTAGGTCCAAACACTGGCCTGGCGTCCTTCACACTAATCCTAATGATAATCAGATTATTTGCATCAGTAGAGACTCAACATAGCTACAGGAGGACCAGGTCGGCTCACTAATAAATATCAACGACTCATTAAAGAAACAGTCTCCTGGTGGCTGACAAACATTTGTCAGTACAGTAATATGCAGGTGAGGTTGGTCCTGTTTCCAGATATCACTCCCTTTACCTTAACATGAATAGAGGTAGGATAAAGAGAAAAAAACTGTACTGAGGTATTACTCTCTTTTTGCATATATTTAAAAAAGAAAAATTAGCCAAGAAGTTGTTGGGTGGTAGGAAGGTAAAATTTTAGGAAAACATCATCTGAAGCCCTACAATTGATAAGATGTATTATCATAGTTGCTGCGGGTCCCACTGGGTCCCAAAGAAGTGGTATTGACTGTCAGAGAGTGAAGTACTGAGAAAATTTATTACGCACTTCTCCTCCAAACTGAGGCACAAAAATACTTAGTCAAATTAGGTTAGACCTTCCATAGTCTATAATTTATGAAATTATGAACATTTTAGCTTCTAAGTGTAGTGATATGCTGTTTTCTTTTTATAGAATTCATTGCAATTAGCAATGTTCTCTCTAATCATTAAAAAAAATCAGAATGTCAATGCTTCAGAATTACTTTTCTTAAAGTTAAAATGTAGTTTAAGTAACGTTATACATGTGGGAAAATAAACACTCCTGCCGGAACATACAAAGTATTAATATTAGAATAAAGTCCTGCAGAACTTTGACACATGCATTTCATCTTTGAATACCTAACAATCCCAGGATAATTTTATGAAAGCATTTAATAAAAGAGTGCAAGAGTTACTGCTTTCCCTTTTGATTCTTTTTTTACTTTGAGTGTTTTCAAATCGAGAAGATAGAAAATGGTATACACGTGAGTCACTAATAGTTAATATGTTTATCGTGTTTGTTTTCTCCTCTCCCTCAGAAGAACAAGGACTTAAGTCAGTAAGATGGTCACTCTAGAATTCAGGACACTCCAACTTGGTTCAATGCTTGCAGCTAGTACATAGTCTTAACTCCTTTACTCCCTTGCATTTAATAGTTGGAGTGCCACTAAAAGGAATAGTTTCTCTTTTACCCTCTTTATGATATACCTATTCATGTATTTATTTGTAAACATCAGTAGACACTTACAGGTTCCTTTAATTCAGTCGGTTATTACACACGGCCAGTGTCCATTTTGATGCTGATCAAACTTTGCTCAGTGGATGCTCCTCAACTCCCCTGTTTGTTTGGCTTGGCCCTATCAGTTTGTAAGCATTGTTTATTCTCTAACTTTTAGCATGTCTATCTGCAAGTTCTTCCTTCAAGTCGCTACTCAAATGACAGATTTTATTCTTGCAAAAATCTTTTTTTGCTCTGTTTTTACATCTGCAACTGACCTCAGTCATGGTCCTGAGGAAAACAAGATAATTAGATTGCCCCCAACAATACAGTTAGCTATGACAGGGGCTTGCTAGAGGTACTAAGGTGAAGCACCTTTCCCCACTGGGTCAACTAAGAAATACTCCTGAAAGAATACATATCACCTACTTCACCTGCAAGATGAGTAGAAATAAATTTGGGCATAACAGGGCACTGTTCTATGCTAAGGAAGCACATATCTCTTTGAGGAAGTCTCATTTCCCAAGGAGCCTGTTGGAAATACAGGCCCCATTCCAACAACCAGCCCTATCCCAAGCAAATGAAATCAAGATCTCTGGGCTGGGTGGGGAAAACATCTATGTTCAATGAGGAATGCTGTTATATGTCATGGAGCTAAACCCTTCAAAACTAAATTTTTTTAAAATTTATTTTATTTTATAGGATTTTGAGCTCAACAATGAACTAAAGATGAATGTCCTAAATTTACTAGAGGAAGTTTTGCGAGACCCAGACCTTCTTCCCCAAGAAAGGAAAGCCACAGCGAATATCCTGAGGTAAAGGCAACTGTAGGTGCCTATGAATGAAATTGTTGATCTGTGCCGTGTTCATAGAAAATAAGGCTCCAAACCAGGGGATACATCTTAGACTCCTGCGGGCAGCAAGGATTCTGTCTTAAATGGTAAGGTGATACTCATGATCTATTTCCTGGAGTATGGAAGAATCTGCTGGTCTAGGAAAACTCGGATTGATGACATACCATGTGTGGAATGCAATTGCTTCTGTTCTTATGGAAAGACTAATGTGTATGGTTTATTGTAGAACCAGAATTTAAAGGAAGAAGTCCTGATCCACCACCCCCATAAGTTCTAATTGTCAGACACTCATGTTTATTTGCAGCTAGTATTTCTGTGAGAATCTTGTGCCAAACTCATTCTAGGCACTAATCTGGGTTGATTAACCCCTCAAAAATATTGAAGTCCTAATTCTCAGGACCGGTGAATGAGACCTGATGTGGAATTAAGGCCATTCTTAATGTAATTGGTTAAGATGAGGTCATTGTCTCAGTGAAGGAAGAAAAGCAAGAGATTTATTGACATATAGGAATGAGGACAGGAGTGCTTTCTGAGCAGAGAGGGGTCTCAAGTGGGTAGCCACTGAGGGGGCAAGGAGCAGGTGCTTATGTGAGTACAGTGGTCATGGAATGGGTTTTTGGCCACTGGTGTCTTGGCATTGTGTATTTAGCTGATTGGCTGGGGCCCACTGAGTTTCCTAAGTAACTGAGGCTCACTGAGTCCCCCAGGTTGCCTGGCCTGCTTTCTCAAAATCAGCTTTGGTCCAAAGCTTTTGCACTGTGTTATCGTGTTGGTGTTTGGAACATTCAATTTCTATTGGGTTGGGGGCACCTTGATTCTAACCGATTGTTCCTTATTCAGATTGATAAAAGGACTTGAGGCACTTGGGAAAGGGAGGGGGGTAGTTACTCTGGTTCCAACCACTTGTTTCCTATTTAGATAGATAAATGGGCTTAGGATACCTGGGCTTCACGTTGCCCCTGATTCTAGCTAACTTTCTGTACCCATTTCCTAACTTCCTCATTCACTTGAGTAGTGTAGGCCCTCAATCTAACATAACTGGTCTCCTTAAGAAGTGTAAGAAGCCGAATACCTATAAGAAGTTGGCTCTTGTACTAAAACACAGAATTTTAAAAACTAAATTTGACTAAATAGCAACAAGGGAAATTAAGGTGTTCAAACTGGGGAAGACTATTAGGATTGAGCAATATGAGGTTCTCAAGTTGTCTTTCTCCCCTAAAAACACCCATGACAAAAACTATCAATCAATTCTGAGAATTTTGACTTGCTAGAAGGTGAGCTCAGAACTCAGTTGACAGACATGGCCAGTTAAGTGAAGATGGTATTTAAGATGTATCCGTTTTGCCAAAACACTAGTAAATGATGATTTTTCACAGAGCATTATACTATTTATTCAAAGACCATCTCAGGTCTTTATAATTCGATAGGCTTAAATTAAGACGTACTAATTCTCTTTGCTGAATAAATGCCTGGGAAGTAGATATATAAGAACTATATGGACTAGAGATTTCAGAAAATGGTGCAGCCTGAAAATATAACACCAGGCCGAGTCTGATTTTAACTCATGCAGGAATTCATAGATTTAAATCTTGGATCAGCCACTTTTAGCTGTCATGTGTTTTAACTCATCTAAACTGCAGCATTTTTATTTGTAAAATGGGGTAGATAGTAATAATATCTACCTCTTTAGGCTGTTGTGAAGAGCACTTGACATTATATGTAAAAGGTGGCTAACCTTTATGCTCCATACTGTGCCTGAAGCATAAATGACATTCATATCAATGTACAGTTATTGTTGTTATATTATTGTTTTTATTATTACAAAATACTGATGCTAGGTCATGGGAAGTTTTCTGCCATCACAGCGATATGGCCCAAGTGAAAATATGCTAAATCTTAGTCAGTTCAACTTCCTTCATCATGTTGCCTATCAAAAAGACTATAACAATATAATCTTTAAAACCCTTATTGTGACATTAAAACCCACTTCAATATTGTATAAAATGTACATAAAAATTTAAAAATCATTTCAAATGTACACTTTAAGTGAGTGAATGGTTTGATGTAATCATTTCTCAGCCTTTGGTTAAGATCAAGTCTTTGATATGTGAATTACATCACAATAAAGTTATCACCCCAAACAGAAAACACACCATAGTCATATCCCACTTATTGCATTGCACTAAAAAAAGTCAATATAAAACAAAAAAGCAGTTGCACTGATATGTTGCCCCAGTACCCAGCCAGAGATCTATCCCCTTGCAAATTCTCCCCTAAGTGTTCTAGACGTGTCAAACATGATATGCTCTGCTCAGGAACAAGCCCTTTTATTTTTTTGCTTCAGTAGCTGTATTCAAACTCACAATATTCAGGCCACTTATCAATCTATGAACACAATAGTTTGTATAGAATGCTGCCCAACAATCTTCTAAAGTTAGCATTTCCCTACTAAAAAGTAGAGAGAGATGTCACTTCCCCCACCTCTGTGCCACCTAGGCCCCAGGGCAGTCTCATTTAACCCAGAGTTGTGCAAACAGCTCCTTTGGCTCTTGTACTTTGGAATATTAGGGTAAGATCTTTCAGAAGAGGAACATTCAAACATTTGATAGAAGCTAAATTAACTTTTTGGCCATCTTTCCAAGGCTATTGCTCTACCTCATAAAAAAAAGCTCTTTCCCAGACATGGAATCAACTCAAATGCCCAAAAGTAGATGACTAGATTAAAGAGATGTGGTATGTATACACAATGGGATATTATTCAGCAATCAAAAAAGACAATAAACACAGCAACATGCAGCAACATGGATGGAGCTGGAAGGGGTCATGCTTAATGAAACAAGCCAGAAAGAAAAGGAAAAATGCTGGCTGGTTTCACTCATAGCAGGAATATAAAGGACCAGGCTAATAATAATAATAATAATAATGAACAACTATATACTAGAGACATTTTACAGGGGTGGAGTGGGGAATGGGATCAAAAATGGGGGAAGGGGAGTTCACTGGACTATGGTGATGGCACATGGCTAATTTGGTGATGGGAAGCCCATTGGATTACAACTGAGATGGAAAAAGGCACAAAATGATGCAAAAATAAACTATTATATTATTTTTTAAAATAATTAAAAAAAAAGCTCTTTCACACAGGTACACATAGTTGTGTGGCCACTTGTCTGTCTCCAAGAAACCAGATGACAAGTAAATGGCATATATTTGGGAAAGAAGTCACTCTATGCCCTAGGTGTAACCCTTAAGTGTGACTTGATCATCTTTGGAAAAAGAGCTGTATTTGTTCTTACTTTAGCTTAATCTGCGTTTTTTGTCATATGATGACTAGTTCCTTCTGCTCTCAAATGAGATGGCGAATTGTTGAAAAGAAGACTGCCAGTCATATATCTAGAAGGATTCTTCTCCTTGGTAAACTGCCAAAATTATTGGTAAGGGAAGGAGCGAGAAGAAAGGAAATTGACAATTTTTGATGTGTGCTCTATACTGGACCCTGGAAGAGATGCCTTTAAAATACATTCTTAACAAATGTACAGAATAACAGGATGGTAGGCAATGGGATCAAATCTGGGCATTTTCCCCATCTGTAAAATGAAAAGAATAATACTTAATCGAAGGCATTTATCATGGTCCAAGAGAGAGTCTACATCAGATGCTTAGATATCTCTGTTACACAGTGGGCAGACAGTAGCCAGTCTTAGTTGATTATGAGTTTTTGAGACAGGCAGTTTTGTTTTAATCAAATTAAAATACAACAGAACATCTCATTATTATTTCTTTTAAAATTAGCTTCCTCCAGGAGACAGTGTGCTTTGGAGCTGTTTAATACTTTTAATATGTAATTTGCCTTTATTTTGGAAAACTTAAAATTGTTTCGTGGCCCAGATGGCAAGCTGTATTTGCAGTATAATCCTCCTGGGCTCAGAGCTTGTGTTAGGCATGAAGTATCACTCCTACTCTGAAACCAGGACCCACTTCAATATTAATTAACTTAGGTATATATTTACTCATTCATCCGTCACTTACCAAAACAAATATTTATGGCTAGCTGAATAACAACATGTGTGAGGGGCTAGCACACATGTGTCTCAGGGAAGACCATCTGGGAAGCAGGGGGGAAGAGTGTACCTGCTGGCTTCTGTCTGGTATTATTCAAATTCTTGTTCCCTGGGACTTCCCTGTGCTTTTGCTCTCTGTCACTGGGGGAGGAGGAGACACTGCAGCTTCTGTCTCAGCATTTGCAGGAAAGAGCTAAACGGGGTCTAGAGGAGCAGGAATGGCCACGCCAGCTCCCTTGGTTCCCTGACTGACCATGTTGAAGCTACTCAAGTTCACAGGATCCTCTCCGTCATGCTGAGCTCACAGTCACTCTCACACTCACTTTGATGGTAGGCTTTGTTTTGTTGTTATTATTTTTTTTTATAACCCTCTGTGTAATAAGTTGTCTTCTTGCTGTAAGTCAGCATCCTTAATGGCTCTCTTGTGCATTTAACGTATGATTTTCTGCCCCTGTGGCTGCTGCTCTGAAGCCTCCAGCTGGTGGCACAGCCTTGGACCAGACCCTTCAACTTTCCACCCAGGGAAAACCAAACTGCATTTTGTTATTTCATTCCTGGAATGTCTATTTTCTTTACATGGAAGAATTACTTTTTTTTTTTTTTTCAGGGTCCTTTCACAAGATGATCAAGATGACATTCACCTAAAATTAGAGGATATAATTCAACTGGTAAGTTCAGCTACTGTGGTGTCCAGAAAAATTATGTGCAAATTATTGTGTATCTCAAAGGCAGGCAACATGCCTGTATCTGAGTGCTTGACCTTAAGTTCTATGAACAAAGATCTATGAAATGAAACCAACTTGGCTTGGAGGTTAGGAGTCGGGGCATGACGTTAAAGTTGGCTGATATTTGTGAGTTTTCTGCATGTTCTTTCATAGCTAGACTCTGTGACAGACTTTATATGTCAGCAGCTGCTGACCTTGCTCTCTATCCTCTTTTCTTACAGATGGGCTACCCGAAGGCCGAGTGCTTCGAGTCTTTGTCAGCCATGGAGCTGGCTGAGCAGATCACGCTGTTGGACCACATCGTCTTCAGAAGCATTCCCTACGAGTGAGCGCTGCTCTCCCAGCTGCAGGCCCCTCTCAGGCAGGACTAGCTGGCTTAGATTTGTCTTTATTTCTAAGGCAGATGTGTGTACTGAGGTGTGAGTCTTAATCTTAAGATGTTTGGTCCCGCTTGAATGTCTTTGGTTCCAGTTGGTGTTGGAAATATCATTTTGAAATTATGGAGACTTACAAGATGGTTATGTTTATGATTCTCTCTGTCTACCACTGCCACAGAATGTGAGTTTCTTTATGTTCACATATCCTCATGTTACAGAAATCTCAGTACAGCTATCACAGTGTTTCTCAAACTCTTGTGGGCCAAAATCTCTTGGGAAATGTATTAAAATACACATTCTTAGGTACCTGCCTTGGAGATCCTGATTTCAGTAGGTTTGAGACCCAAGAAGCTATATTTTCAGCAAGAATGTAGATAATTCTGAAGTTATTTTATTATTTTTAATAATATTTAATATAATTATCTTATGATTTTATAGTATTTTTTATAATTTTCAAAGCTTCACTTTGAAAAACATTGATGGTAGGTAAAAACCATCAATTCTGCTATAATCCATCACCTGCTTCCAGAAATCAACAAGTAGTACTAAGGTTTGAAGTGTGGACTTATCATACAGACTTCTAATATCCTTGTGTGTAGAGTTAGGGATGGCACTTTAGGCAACTGTTGGCACAGGTCCAATGTGAATCACTAGGTTAAAAGGAAGGAAGAAGCTAAATGACAGATATGAATGTGATCCATGTATGTGTAGAGAAGCGGACTTTCATAGTGATGGCGGGTCCAGCATGGTGGGTGGTCAGAGCTACAGCTATCGTAGAGAGACACAGAGCAGGGCCAGAGCATGCACCACAGATTTTTCTTTCATGCATTTTATCTTCTTTCCTTCCTCTTCACTCAGTGGGCCTTGCCATAAAGATGAAGTGGGGGAAAGCCAGGTGGTGCACTGGCCGCACAGATGAACCCAGTGGCTATTTGAAGACCTGAATTAGGAATCACAGTGGCCATCCCCTCCCCCACTTCCGCAGCTGCCTGCCACCCACCTCCTGACTACCCTCCAGAGTAGAGAAGTCAGGAGGAGCAGGAGTACACTCTCTGCAGGAGAGAGAGGGAAGTGCTGATTTTTATGGCTGCCCAAGGTGTGGGCTCTTTTTGGGATCTTCCTCTCTGTTCTTCTTCCTTATTCCCCTCTGTGTCAGTGTGAAAATCTTCCAGTTACTCTTGGGCACATAAACTTGGTGCCCAACAGCTCTGCAGGTTGGCATTAGCACCACTGACAATCAGGACAAAGAGTTTGGCACAGGGACTTAGTCAACATGTCTGGATTAAGAACATTTCAGAATGATTTCATTTCAAGGTTTTGTTTTTTCAATGATTTTATAATTTCTGTGTGATCTATCTTTATTGTCTGTTGCTTGCTGTGAGCTGAAGATCTGCCATGAGAGAAGTGAACCAGCTTCCCCACATGAATCAGCTCTACAGTGCTAACTTGGAGTTTGTTTATTAAGTGCTTTTTTCTGACTCTGTCAAGAGCAAAGGAAACTCTCTGCTCATGGGATTGTCATGCTCCTGGAGAATATCAGAGCAAAGTGGAGGAAAATAATGCTGTTCTTGATTAACATTTTTGGTCGAGCTGGTGTTTGGGGTCTTCTGTAAAGTTTTAATTATTTTAAAGTTGATCCAGGAATCTTGGTTTCTGAATTAGTACTTAACCTCTTTATTCCTTTTGTGTTGGTCACTGTTTTCCAACTGCAAAGAAACCCTTATAATAACCTTAATAGAGAGACAAAGATCCAAACATTCATAAGACAAATCTGGGTACTGAAAAATTTTTCTTTCTGCCATTGTGTGGTAAAATGCCAGTCAAGCGAAAGTTCATTTGAGATGGTCATTAGTAATAGGTGCGAGACAATGTCAGGCCTATTAGCATTTGTAGCATTTATAATAATCATTTAAAAAATCCTTAATTTGTTTTTTGTTTGGTCTTGAACTTTCAGAGAGTTTCTTGGGCAGGGATGGATGAAAATGGATAAAAACGAAAGAACACCATACATTATGAAAACCAGCCAACATTTCAATGATGTGAGTAACCATAAAATAAAAGCTTGGGCATATTAAGAGGATTATCAGGGTCTTCAAGTCCTCTAAGTTAAGTAACTCTGCCATCCACTTGTAAATAGAACTGATGGAAGGCTAATGACAAGCTTAGGTTGCTAAGACTCACAGCAGTGACTTCCCAGACATTAAACAGTTTGCTTTTGAAGGTGTCCATATCTGGAAAGATTTCACAAATGTATAGCTTGCTTTTGCTATTCTACTCACAATTATCATTACTTCCTTGTCATAGTTTGGTTCTAACAGAATGAGTGGCACATATGTCACTAGCCCCTGGCGGAGCCTGAGACAGTAAGGTTGGATTGAGGCACTTCTTCCTATTACTGAACCTGCAGCCCACACTCCAGTGTTGGAAGAGGCCTCTCTGAGCATCATTACTGAATTGCAGTGGCTGTCTGCAATGCTAATCAGCCCATTCCCCACCACTTTTCTCCAGCAGTAAGATGGAGTTATTTTTATGCCCACCTCCTTCTATATGGCCTGTGGTGGAACCTCAGATGTGGAAATGTCTTGGCCTATACAAAGGGAAGGCTCCCTTTACAATTCCACTACCCTACAGTAAAACAAATAATGATAATGTTAAATAAAATATTATTAGGCACTCCTTAGATCAATTAGTACATCATTCAGAATCTAAATACAAAACAACTGTGGCAATTCCAAAAGCAGTTCTCTGCACTGAGTGAACATTGGCACATGAACATTAGTGTCAGCACTACCTATAGGACAGGGTACATGGCCCACTAAGCCACCCTCTGAGAAGTGGGCCCCTGCTGTGGAAATAGACCTCTGTAGCCTGCACTGGACAATCCTTGCATTATATGGGATATAATGAACAATCACATCAGAAGTTCAATCCCAGATTTGAGCCCCCGTACCTCCATTTGGATGGCCACTTGTATTGTACCCTCAGCAGATTGCAAGTGGAATTTATTATCCACATGTCCAGACCACGCCTGCTCTCCATCTTATTCTCTGTTCTCAGTCTTGATGCTCACTGTGCTCAGATCTAATCTAGATGCCGTTTTTGACTCCTTCTTCTCCCTTACCCACCCCACCCACATACCCTCGCAAGTTGATGAATCCCCAGTATATGTATGCCTTAGCCCCTTCTTTCCCCGCTCTTTTCCCACAGCCTTGATTTGGCCTTTCATCCTTTCTCTCAGGAGTTCCTGACCCCCTCCTTCCATCACTGTCTCCCTGCTTTATAGCCCATTTCTCATGTAGTGTCACAGAAGTAAATTCGTTGAGATATCCATCTAATTGCATTGCATTCTGGGACAAAAATAGCCAGCGGCTTCCCCTCACTCACCTTCAGGGTGCAGCCCCAACTCTTGGGTGGCCTGGCTCACCTGTCATCCTTGTCTTGCACAGCACCGGTTCCTCTCAGGGAATGCTGTGTCCTCCACCACAACCTGCCTCTGCCTCTGTTCTTGGGCAAAAGCTCTTCTTTTTTGATGGAGAGCAGTTGCTAATTTATGCTCATCTTTTTGCACTCAGTGCAGAGAATGCCTGTCTGAGTGCCAGATGCCTCCTCTGAGCTGTCCTCTATCTATGTTGTGTCTGCATTCTCACAGCCTTCCACACAGATGGGGCTGTGTGTGGCCTTTACTTGTTTAGGTCTGCCTCCCTATCACTTGCTGTCCATTAGGCTCAGGGTGCCTTCCAGTCAAGGACACTGTTTGTCTTTCTGTTCCCAGCACCGAAAAGAATACTAGGTGTTCGGCCCTCCCTGGTGGCACAGTGGGTTAAAGCACAGCACTGAGAATCTAAAGCCACTTCCACA